CCGTAATTTTGTGGAATCAGTTTAAAAGATGTTGCTAAAAAAGTCAGCAACAAATGTTTGAATGTATTGAGAATAATTTTTATATTGAGATACATGTAATTCTCTCTTTATATAATTTAATTTATTTTTGTAATTTATTTTTCAGTGAAAATAACACATCAAGCTCAGCCAAAAGTCCTGCATYTAATTCATTTGACAAATTCAAACCAGCTGAAGGCTCCTGGGAATGTTCAACATGTATGGTGAATAATAAACCTCAAGAATTATCTTGTGTTGCTTGTTCAACACCAMAACCACCACCAACAAAACCCATGGAAACAACAACAAAATCCCTTTCTACCAAACAAAMYTCAAATGACTTGTTTAAACAATTTCAACCACCAAGTGGATCTTGGACTTGTAGTAGTTGTATGTTAACTAATAAACAACAAGACCAGAAATGCATTGCTTGTGAAACACCCTCAACTACAGACAAACAAAAACCASAGTTAGTTCAGCCTAAAAATACTTTGTTGAAACAGTTTGCTGCTGCAAGCGATTCATGGGAATGCCCTGACTGCATGTTGATCAACAAGGCTCAAGATTTGCAGTGTGTAGCATGTCAAGCAAAAAAACCTGGAGAGAAGTCATCTAAAACAACAGACAATTCATTATCAAAACAATTTACACCTGCTGAGGGATCATGGACTTGTGATACTTGTATGATAGTAAATAAATCTGATGCTGTAAAATGTATAGCTTGTGAGACTAGTAAACCAGGCTCATCCACTAAACCCTCATCTTTYACGTCAGGCTTCAAAGTTTCATCAGAAAACAAGTTTCATAATAGTCCTTTTAAATTTGTGCCAGTGGACAATAAGGACAGTARGAAGGCGATTTTTGGAGGTTCTTCATCCAGTAGTTCTGATCCATTCAAGATGGCTGCAACTTCAATATCAACTACACCATTTGCTTTTGGTGCRTCTACAACAAGTAGTAGCTCAGAAACGTCCTTCACATTTGGATCCACAACAACTACGTCCAGTAAAGTTCAGTTTGGATCAACTGATTCTTCTAATTTCAAATTTGGTTCCAGTGAAGAAAGCACAAAGTTGAAACCTACTTTTCAGTTTGGAAAAGGAACAGAGTCTAAGTCAACTGATGCTGCAACTACCTTTAAGTTTGGATCAACTTCAGATTCAACAGCAAAGCAACCTACTTTTGCATTTGGTTCAACAGCAAAGTCAGACAAACCTGAAAACCCCTTTACATTTGGTGGAAACAGAATAGATGCAAAGAATCCTACTGTTACAAAGGAATCTCCCAAGAAACCAGCTGCACAGGAACCCCTGAAAGGTACAATTCTTTTCCAACACACATTCAGATAAAAGCCTAAAAACTATAAAGTTGAAAGACCAGAGTACAACATGACAGTAACATGATATTCCTAAAAGGGTCATTATGAACATTATAAATAAAATATTGTGAAATGTTGAGAAATCAATAACACACAATAAATGCTCATTCAATAAAACAAAACCTAGCCTAACAATGTTCAGGGAGCAATCAAAAAGGTTTTCATGTGTTCTGGTTTACTCCTTTCAATACAAGTGTTAAAAGATGACTTACTGATGGCTTAGTATTTTTTGCTACAGTTATTTGCAAATCATTTGACTCTGTAATATATGTCATTATATTAAGAGCATTGTGGGTATTGTCTTGTAATTTTCTATCTTTTCTGGCAAAACCAGACTGCAAATCATTCAAATACTTTGAAATTAAGAGGTTATTTTAATAATCTGCTTAATCTGCAGTTATTATGACAAATTAAAGGTTATATTATATTGACATTTCTTTATCTTGTGATATTGCTTGCTTAGTGGGCAGAATTTCTTCAATTGAATGTAATTGTAGGCAGTAATTATATACAACAGTGAGTTACTAATGAAATTCCCATTTTCTTTTAGCTGGAAGTATTGCACAGGCTGCTGCTGCAGGTCTGTTAAAAATCCCTTCTTCAACTGTGGATGTTGTAGACCTGACCTCAGATGTATCAAAGCCTGATTTACCCAAAGAAACTATTGAAGGTGAAATACCTGATAACGTGCAATCAAAAATATTATTTCATATTAGAAACCTTTTTCCTAAAAGTTGTGCCAGCAGTGGTGTGATCCAAATATTGACTTGTTTTTGTATTCTACTAAAAAATCCTGATAGTCTTAGAATAATGTTTATTTAAAATATAAGGACAGTTAAAACGAAGTGAATGAAATGCATTTTTTACTTAAGCAACCCATGAATTAAATGATGTACATGTTAGTAAACTTTTTTTATTTGTAGCTGTTGCACCACCAAACGTGAACCTTTTTGGGAAAAGTATTGCAAGCCCTGCTAAACCAATTTCTTTACCAAAAGGTATGGGGATTGACAATGTATATAATAGTTAATCTCCTGTCTATACTAGTAGACGGTAAACTAAATTGTATACAGTAAGTAATACAGCTGATAAACTTGACACTACAAACAATGTATTCCTTGAGTAATAGACTAATAAATTAATTAAAAAAAAAAAACATAAGAAAATAGAGACTAAATTATAATCCAGATAAATTCGAAAAATCAGAAACAGAATTTTGGCCAAATTTTGACTTGATTTAGACCATCATCAGAGTATGAATAAGTATGTCAGCAGAGCTTTATATAGCTAAAGTCAGAATAATCTTTTGAGTCTTTTACCCATCTCCTTCTGATCCTGATGAGAATAAAGCCTAGTTGATAACATCACACTATTGTGGTGCAATCCAGTCAGGGAAGATTCTTTTGAAGCTTTGACTATCAAATTGTACAAYCCTTCATTGAACATGGATTATCCTTTGTTCAATTAACATTATTACTACAAGCTCTTCATACTTCAATATTGTAAATGTAAATTGTGCTTTTAATTACAGCAACTGAGGCTAAACCACAAGCCACAGCATCTCTTGCACCTTTGCCATTTGCTTTTGGGGCACCGCCATCTGTTACTAAGCCAGAGGAAGACCCTGCAAAAGCCATTCCATCATTTGCCTTCCAACCAAGTACCACAGATTCTAGTACTATTCCTAAATTTGGTGAACTGACTTCACCAGCAGTAACAACATCTGCACCGATACAAGGATTCCAGTTTGGTTCATCYATAAACTCGAAGACAACTGCTACAGGTGGTGGAGCTCAGCTTGGATTCACTGGACCTCCTCAACAAGGAAATGTCTTGACAGGATTTTCAAATGCAACAAAGAATACAACSACAGSTTCACCATTTGTATTCAAGGGAACTGGTGATAGTACTGAAAATAAACTCTCCACATCAAGTACTGSGTTTGGATTTGTGCCACMTTCTGGTAATGGTGGCTTTTCATTTGGTGGAASTASCAAATCTTCAACAACTAGTGAGASTCCAGCTCCYTTYGTGTTTGGTGCYGTGGAAACACAGAAACAAAGTGGATTCACTTTTGGTTCTTCTTCTCAAGTACGTTATAAATCGGTTTCTAGTTTTGAAGCATTTGAATCAACAATCTGTTTTGGAAGAAAGTGTATTTTATCCATGTGTATAAAAAGATAAATTCAACACTGTAAAAAAGGAKGTGAAATTTCACCAACTTTTTTCTGGTGTTAAATTTATCTTTTTACTCAACTGTTTCTTTAGAAACACCGACGCAGCTCACMCTAGTTTACCGCTAGTTCCCACTATTTTATCCATGGCTCACCATTCTCTTCCTTGCCCTAAAGATTTCTTAGAAGTGCCATGTTTCCCTCGTGTCAAAACTATTAGGATTGTAAGAATATTTTGTACTAAAAACTGTTAATTATTCTTTAGCAACCATTTGCTTTTGGAAGTTCAAACGCAAACCCTCAAGCGAGTGCACCTTCAACAGTTTCTGAGGAAAGTATGGATGCTGATGGGAACAACAACAACAATCAGCCACCAGGTATTATCCTGCATAGTCATGAGACTGTCTTGTACTAGCAATGAYGTATTATTAACCTGTCTTGTGTTTTATAGTGCCATYGTTTGGGTCGACCTTAGCCCCAGCAACACAGACTGCTGCTCCTTTTAGTTTCACCGCAGCCCCAGCCAATGCTGGATTTAATTTTGGAAATGTTCAACAACCTGCATCATTCAAATTTGGAGACTCTAGTTCCAATCCACCAATCTTTGGTGGCTCGTCAGCACCTGCATTTGGTGCTACCACAGGAAACCCAGTACAACAAGGTGTGTATCAATGTAATATGCAAGGGCATTGTGCAAGGGTTATAGTACAGGTAGGTATTTTTGATGAGTAAGAAATCTAGCAAGTTCTTTCAATGTCGAGATTTCCCTCGCTAGTGAAGTGTAAAACTTTGAGGACATGTAAAAAGAGTTTTTACTGGTGATTTTATGCACAAAAGAAACTAATGTATTTTAACTTGGTGTGATCTCTCGCCTATTCCCTATAACCACCTCATCCTCAATTCTTATCATGATRTGGTATTTTCAGGTGCTAGCAGTGGATTTAATTTTGGCACACCAACCACTAACAACACTGGTGCACAATCAGGAGGGTTCAACTTTAGTGGAGGATCTTCTAGTGCTTTTACTGCAGGTACAGGGACTGCTACAAGAAGAGTTATCAAACGAGGGATACGAAGAACTAGGAAATAAACAAACTAAGGGATAYCACCAATAAATAACGATACTTTGTKATGATTGTAATAACWTGACCAATTACGACCAAAAAAACGACGCATCCAATCATGTATTTTTTTGAGCCAAGGAAACATTCCAGTATGAATATGGAAACTGGCAAAATGAACAGCACTAAACGGTACCAAGCTGTTATTTGATTGGTGCTTTTTACATGCTAAATGTTGTGTTGAGAAAAGAATGTTTCAAGAAAAAGAATCCAAATCTAAAATGTACGCTAAATATTGACCATAAGATAGTAAATAGTCTTAATATTGTGCGATTATGGCACATTTTCAGTATTTGTATTCTGCATCTTTGAAGCAAASCCCCAAATATTTAAGCTAAAAATGAATTCTCAGTAGATATAAGTCTCACCAGGGAAAAACAGGGGAATTTTTGTAATTAAATACGACCATGTAAATTACAAGTGATAAATTATAATGACAGACACGAAACCATTTTGCTATTTTATCGCATTTATTCTTAACAAATGAAATTTAAAGTTTTCAATCCTCCTGCATATGGGACAGTCACGTGATTCATGTGATATTTTCAAAAAATGCTGCGAGGGGGAAGAGGGATCTTCGAGAAATAAGATGGCAGAATTTTTAGGGGGAAGTTTTTACTTTAGTTAGGAGTATTTGAAATTTAAGCGTTTGTAAATATAAATTGGCTATCTTTTGTACAAATTCATGAAATTTATAAAGTATTCTGCCATGGAAGTTTCTCTAGGATTCTTGAAGTAAAAATAAATAGTCAATATTTTACCTAACAGAGAGAGTGTAAACAGGATATCAACCAAGAAAAATGTTTAGTTGATTCCTCTTATCTTAGCTACAGATATCCTAATAAAGTTCAATCTTTATGTTCAGTAGTCTGTTGTGTTGCATGATAACATCGTATAAACASAAAACTTAAACATTTTTTTGCATGTTGGACAAGCCGCGATTTATTTGTTTTATTAAACAATCCAGCTAAGAAGCTACAACAGTACAAACCAATGTTTCAGGTCCGGAAACAAACGTTTACAGAATGTTGGTCAATTCTCGACTTTGTGTTGTTTGCCAAAGTAACATCTTGCAAGCTTGAAGCGGCATTATGTTGTGAAACAAGTTCGTTGTTTTTGTTATTCTTATAGTTTTTTTTTAGGGAAGCAGTTTGTTTTTTAGTGAGTTAGTTAAGCTGACGAGCAATGCATCATAACTTAGCAGTCTTCATGAATCCAGTATGTTCAACAACACGCAAAACCTCCTCAGCAGAACCCCATGATAGTATACAACCATAAGCAGAATGCCCGTAATTGTGAATAATTGATTGACACTGATCATCTTGTTCAACACGTGGACCTCCCTTGCGCATAGGCCTGGAACCGACCAATAAAGTTATCTGCTGTCCAGCAATGATGTCCTTTAATTTGGGATAGATACTGATGCATTCGTCGAGCATTCGTTGTACAATAGGATGATGTGCGTGCAACTGTTTTGTATCGGTGTTTCCAGCATTGAGCGTTCCAATCCAATATAAACCGTCTTCATCTGAAACAATGGAATATAAYTGATAGCAAGACGCGAGGGAAAAAAGGCTATAGCCATGTATAGCTTGGGGGCTGAACAGGACTTTATCAGTCCTCTGTCCAGTTAGTTCGTTATGAGTTGCACATGGTTTGGAATAATCACCGGATTTAATACCGTGTGAGACTAAGTCCCTTAATTACGAATGATTCCTCGCAAAGTTTCCCATATATTTCTTTGTAAAAACTAGAATTCGTTCACATTTGATCTGATTAACACCAAACTTTTAGTTTCTTATTTATAGTGCGATCTTTCTTATTTCACGATAAGAATTAAGGGACCTAGTCCCATGGTATGAAATCGGGCGATAAAGAAACTTATACTTACTGCGTGGGATCATTATAAAGTGTCCATATGCATGGAATTCTTCATCCACCCAAACCACCTGACAATTAATACCGAAATCGAGCAACGATTTGTCGCTTTTTTGAAAAAGAAAAGCAGCTCCTGGGAAACAAATGAAAAAGGATATCATATCAGCATTACAGAATCATATTTACAATGTCTTGCAGGGTGTCAATACTTATCTAGTAGACTATAAAGTGAAAATGAAGTACGACATGTTTTAAGGGTACACTTTGGGCAGATCGTGAAATAAAAAACCGGACCCTGCGCTAGTCAATCACAGCGCGCGAATGACTAGGATACCGGACCGAAAAAAAAATATATATACCATACTGACTTGCAAATAAATGTCGACTGACCTACTCCAGGGAAAACGTCTTCATCACCAGCCAGTTCCTTGGCACCAAGACCCGWACAATTCACAACTAAATCTACAAGGAATTCTTTTTTTAAAGAATCGATTTGATCTGCCAATAGCCCGGTAATGGATCCCTTTTGAAATCGTACTCCTMTTGACTGACACTAAAGTGGATAACCTTGCATTAACAACGGCAACAGAAAACAAACAAACTACAACAACAACAAACAAACATAAAGTCACTGGAAAAAATCGCGCGCTTTAAAGGTTGTAAATTTGATGTATATATGATGTAAGTGTCCAAAATGATGTAAATTTGATGTAAATCATTTCCATCAAATTTCCATCATTTTGGACACTTACATCATATATACATCAAATTTACAACCTTTATGCCGCGCGATTTTTTCCAGTGAGTCAGTGGTATACAATAGCACATCACAAACCAGTCACCTGTTTAGTGAGCCACTTGAGGTAAACATCAGTATCAACGAAAGGACTTTGGTAAGTAAAGCAATCAACCAATCCAGCTCCATTGATGCCTATACAAAAGGGTTTGAAATGYTTTAAAATATTTACGATCCAAAAAGCATGCGTGTTCGCGTTATGTACGGCCTCGCCGTTTATCTGGAAATATGYGCTTATGGTACTCGTTTTAGGTTTCGAATATGTCCATAAAAATTTGAATYTAAAACCTAAACCAYGGTGTTACAAACCTTTTTCTCGTAGAATATCACGTGAGTGACGGAATCCCGGGATGTTTTTGTGGTTTTCCATAAATGAACTGTACTTAGGAGAGTCGAGTATCTGTAAATGACACAAGTCCATCGAGTTATAAGATCATTTTTTCACAAACGTAAATGAGTAATAAATCAATGCACAGACATATGAGGATCTGATAAGTACAATCAACGGTGCGCAAGGAGATACGGATTTTATCTTCGAGTCTTGAAAAGATCGCTACGTAGACTAACGCTAGAGATTTTCAACACGAGAAGATAAAATTCGTATCTTCTCCGTGCGCACATGTAATATTCCGCCGGTTTATCGTATAATGTCATATCTAAGAAATTATGTCGTAAAATACCCTTGTTTTACTTCCAATATTTAAAGTCAGAATTAAGAGAAACTATAAAATCAAGTTGTCAAGTTGATRAGTTCACCTTTGTGTTGAAGACGAAATGAAAGTCCTTAATGATAACTCCTGTTGCAYTGTCTTTTTTTGCTAGCTCAGTAAATTTGTGATAGCTACACATCGCCCATTCCTGGCAAACAACACAATAACCATATTGATTCAGTCATGCCTAAACATTGATTCAATCATTAAACGTTTTTTTYCGATAGCTTCACTACGAARGCTTCGTGTCGTTATGTTGTTTGAAGAGTGAAATTCTATGAATAAGGACAAACCTGAAGTTTTTTAGCTTCTGGAAGCACCCAACATGCTGCCGCTACTTGTGAAACAATGCCACAGGAATCCTTGAACAACACTGTCACGTCATGTCTTTCAATACAAGAGGATTGCATGTCATTGCAAGCCATTTTTGGATTGCTTATTAAAATTATTGTATTGTATTGTATTGTCTCAGTATAACTCGAGGTTTGAACAGCAACAAGGCTCTCTACAATGCTCTACAAAGATCTACAAAACATGAACACAACCTCGCGGCACAGGYGCCAGGGTTTTGTAAATCATGAGTCTACCAATAACTAATATTGATTACATAGAGGATATTATCTTCTCGTGTTGAAAAGATCTCTCACGAGTGAGCGTAGCGATCTCGTGAGAGATCTTTTCAACACGAGAAGATAAAATCCGTATCTCCAAGCGACCATGTAATATTCTGTTTATCATATAATTACATATGAATGCAAATTATGTCGTAAAATACCTTTTTTCTTACTTCCACTATATAGAGAAACCTCGAGTGTGATATTTTCACTAGTGAAAATAACATGTTATTTTCACTAGTGAAGATATCAAGTTTACGAAATGGAGAAATATAGGTATTTCATAGATAATTATATGATAAATCTGATTCTTTGACAATTCAAACTGGAATTATTAGAAATGATCAAGGAATTTTTAAATAAATAACCTGAACCACGGCAAAATGAACATTTCAACAATGTCCCAGCATTTCTCCGCCTTTCAGAGACCCAATTTAAAGTAGTAGAGCCTGTCGTACGACTTCCATGTGTGATACCGCTAAATAAATGTCACAAAAATTCAGCTTCTGAACTCATAACGCTCGGCAATGCATATAGCGCTGGTTCGACTCTTGATGCACAATCTTAAAAAAAATCTTTTCACTTTAAGTTCAAGTTTTTGAAAATTTTATTCTTTACATAAGGGACGGTTCATATTTTTATCGGGAGGGGAGAGCTGATTGGGGCTGGTTCTCGAGGCTGGTGGTTTTTTGATGGGGGTCACCCAAGCAAAAACTATTTTAGAGGGGGGCCGGGGGGCATTCAACACCAGGCCCCTCTCCCGATAAAAAATGAAAACATCTGTGCCGTGTACATCCCAATCAACGTGGTACGACAGACCCCTACTAGTATCTATGGCCATATTATTTAATATGATTACCCATTCTTTGCTAATGTGTAGGCAGTAGTGAGGCCTGAAAGACCTGCTCCAATCACTAGAAGCCGATATTTCTACAAAATGAAAACAACTTTTGGTAGTCAGCAGTGGTATTATTTTTGGCGAATTTCTTATTAGTTATCAGCATTTGGCATTGACATCAAAATAATATATCTTGCAACAAAGCATCGAAGCAATTAGCGGTTATTTCGGCGCTTTTATAAAAAGTTTCGCATATAAACATAGCGATCGATCAGCATGATGTATTTTCGTGCGACCCCTCATTGACAATGCGATCAAGTTCAGTACATTCAGGACATTTTATCATTTAAAACAGCGTTAAAGCTTGAGGTAACTTTAAAATTCAACTAAKGTTAATATTATACCGGAATCCATTATACCTTTTTATGTTCAAATACATACCATGGTCAGTTTTACAGCAGGGGTCATCAACACGTTCGGTCGATCTGCACTCACGCATAACCTTTAATTGGATTTCCTGTTTGTATGTTGTAAGGAGAAAGCACTGGGGACGACTATTACGCGACGACACGACAACAAATTTTATTGCAAGAGAATTAAAATACGAATTTATGTTAACCTGTCGCGCAAGCTGTCTTCGTTTTCCAAGGCTGCAAAGACGACTTCCGAATTTACTGTTCTGGTTTGCTGTAAAAAGGTCTTCATTTCATTCTAATTATAGAGGTAGAAATATCATTAATATGATGGCATACTTAACTTAAGTCTTAACTTTACTACAACTACAAGAATGCCTTGTGCATTTTCTTTTCTATGACGCCATCATGCAAATCACCTTTTCAGAGCCTGCTTGCTGGTTAGCCTTCTTGCTGGTTTCATAGTTGAAGGGATATCAATATTCAATGTATGAACTTGTATCAGAACTAATGAAGATGAGCTAACTTGACTGTTTATTTAATCTGAAAGGATGGATGGTGTTGTGACTCAATTCATCATTATAATTCTATACTAAACATCTTCTAATATCTGAAATTATCATTARCAATCTGTTTGTGAGCCAGATTTCTGGGTATCAGAACCATTGTACATGATTTAAAACAGTATATTTAATTTTAATAGTATGCTTCAAATTGGCAGGATAATCAAAGTGTACTGCTATTATGGGTGGGGATGGAGGTTTTTGAATCTGTCAGGACAATCTAGACTGCAGTTGTGAGGTGCAGATAGAGTACAGTGAGTTTTGTATGACTGGCCACCAGGGTCTAGACACAGTAATAATCCACTTTCGAATTCTTCAATGCTCTGTGTTAGCCTCATTTGTGYGCAAAATATTCGTAATTGTGAGAAYWAAAGTGTGAGATTTCATATCAAATSTATTGTCTTTCTTTTCAAATTCCATGCRTTTTCTCGGCCTATCAATGAAACAAAAGAATATGTTACTTCGTTTTGAGGCTAACACAGAGCAAACCAGAACTCGAAATTGGAGTATAATACAGCCAGTCCCAGCTACATGAATGTGATTTATCTTGTTAGATATGTCGTCTAGCCATGGAGTACAAACTGTGTGCGGTACTATGGACTTTGGTCGCTTGACTGATGAACCACAGGTTAGAATGTATTTTGTTATATTAGAAATATACTTAATATGGATTAAGATGAATATGTTTCAAATATGACAAGACACTACAGACATGATGATTTGAATTTCCAATTTTGGTTC